CTCCCGCCAGAAGGACGCACTCAACCAGTAACTAAGGAAGAGGTACAAGCTCAGGTGCTGTTCGAGAACCCTCTGATCACAAGAGAAGATGTTGGCTGGTTTAAGGCAGATGAATCCACATGCTCTTTTGGCTCAGCGTGGGTTCGGAGAGGGGTAACAACGATTCGGGATTTGAGGAACCCGCTTTTGGGTACTTGGAGAGCTACATCTGAACTACTGGAGATACTGGGTCCTTTGAGAAACGTGGAGGCGCATTGGTGCCAACTGTTGGAAGCTATTCCAGAGGAGTGGAACCGCTTGTTAAGCCTTGAAGAGACGGACCCAATTGGAACCTGGTACTGCACGACTGTGGATGGTTCAGAGGAAGTCTGGAAGCTGATGGAGATTCTTCCTTCAGGTTTTCGAAAGGTACAAAGCTGGCAGTGTCATCGCCACACTAACGAACTGTCATGGTCTGGGAAAATCCCCCACAGGCGAGAGTGGTAGGTTCGGGTGGAAGTCTGGAGAGAAGGAAGAAATGGGTATGGGTTGGTCACACCCCGTTGAAGGAACTGTGCATTGACCCTGGTGCATGGAGCTGGTCTACGGGAGAAGCTCTGAACCCACGATGTTGACTTTTTGAGTGCTCAGTGGCGAAAGGCTACAGGTTGAGACTGAAAAAAGGTATCAATTCCTCTCCAGCGGAAGTGGCCATTAACAGATGGCAAGCGGTGACAACGTAAGATCTGTCAGAGGCGGGGCTTAATGGCCACTTCCGCTGGAGAGGAATTGATACCTTTTTTCAGTCTCAACTTGTAGCCTTTCGCCACTGAGCACTCAAAAAGTCGACATCGTGGGTTCAGAGCTTCTCCCGTTGACCAGCTCCATGCACCAGGGTCAATGCACAGTTCCTTCGACGGGGTGTGACCAACCCATACCCATTTCTTCCTTCTCTCCAGACTTCCACCCGAACCTACCACTCTCGCCTGTGGGGGATTTTCCCAGACCATGGCTGTCTTCTCGTTTGTAGGCGACAGTTGGGACACTCTCACCAAGATACCAAATGGGAAGCAGGTTTCCATCCTTTGGATGATCTCGCTTTTTGTGACCCCTTCAGTGGTGTGGTTGAATAGCAGAGGGATGCAGGTGGAGTTGGAGTCAACTCGTCACCTCTGGTGGGATGCAAGTGTCCACGCTGCTCATGGCCGTTGGAGTCAACTCGTCACCTCTGGTGGGAATGCCCGGCCTCCCGAAGAGTTTGGAAATGGTGGCAGCAGCATTGGGAACGCTTTGGAGATCCAAGGGTAACTTGGGATGAGAGATGGGTTCTGTTTGGTTTCCTACCAACAGGTATGCACAGGAAACGGGGTTGGGGGTATGTGGCCCAAGTAGCAAGGGGCATACTCAGTGAGATCATCTGGAGAGACAGGAACAGAGCGAGATTCGAGGGCAGACCTTTCTCAGATCTGGAGATCAAAAGAGCAGTAAGACAGGGACTGAGAGATGCAATTAAGGTAGATTGGAGGAAACGAGCAAGGGCGGGGAAAGGGAGCAACAGACAGCTTCGTTGGTTCTTGGATACCTGGACGCTGCGACATCAGCTGGCGGGTGTGCACAGGACGAAAGGGCTGGCCCTCTACCCCTGGGTGAAAGAACCGGTGGAAGGCACAGTGGGTTAGCTGAGAGTTAGTGTCAGAAGTGAGAAGGCTGCACCTCAGTCAGGAGTAGATAGGTAGAGGGGAACCAGGGCACTCGGTTCCCCAACTAGTGCTAGGTGACGTCGCAGGAGACACACAGTGGGCGGAGGGTGGTAGAGTGTCACGGTTCAATAGGAACGCGAGTTCCATCAGCCGAAGTTAGGCTGTTTGGGGGCCGCTAGTAGACCCTGTTATCAGCAGTTAGATTTGTAGATGATATTATCGTTTCAGTCAAAATCTAATAGCAAGAAAGTTGAGGATTAATGGCCAAGATGCAGTGGCGAAGTAGGTTACACAGTAGTATAGGCTCTTACAGAGAGACAAAGTACGTGTTTTGTTGGACCATTGAGGTAAGCATAAAAGAAGTATCAGAGGATTAAGTCTAAGAGAAAAGGCAGGTAGATATAGGGAGTTAATAAGTCGGCTTCAAAGAAGGTCTCCTTTTTGGAAAGCGTTTCGTGGTAGAAGGGGTTTTTAGTCCACTAGGAAATTGAAGGCTGAGGTGTTGCCCTGGGGTTGTCCTGTGTGGAAACTGAACTATGATCGTAAGCGAAACTGGCTGAGGCTGCCAGGATAACTCCGGGTTGAATTGTGAGGTCCCCGGCCTCGTCCCACTGTTTTATGCAATAAAGGTTTAAGCTTAAAAAAAATAAAAAATAAAAAATAAATCTGATTTATGGGACAGTGCCGACCCTGTGTCCCACCCCCGATAACTTCGGGAACTGGCAAAACATCGTAATTTCCCAACACTGGCGGACGTACTAGAACTTTACGCCCAACCAATTCAATTACCTGTCCAATCTGGACAGGACGGCCTTTCAGGCCTTTTTTATTGTCATGATAGCATTACGGGGAACCCCGTAGCAGCCACATCCGTGCTCAAGCCTCCAAAGGAACAACAACAGGCATGTGGTGTTGGGTTCAGGGTAAAAAAAAGGGTTACCAGGGTAATTCCTCTCCGCCATCAGCAAGCTCAATGGTTGAGACCACTTGGTATGCAGGCGATTTAAGAGTGTTTTTTTTTTTTGTTTTTTTTTTTTTTGATGGTGCCATAGCTTTTTTTTTTTGTTTGTTTACTGCTGGAAACCGGGTCCAGCGTCCCATAGATACAACCATTTCCTCACAAATTGGCACGAACTGGGAACTGGGCCCAGCGTCCCATAATGAGTACCTTCAGAAAACTCATCAGAAAATTTCATGAAACTGAGACTAGGAACCTACTAGAAAAATCCAATTAACCTAAGAAATCTGAAGGGAGTAGGAAAAAAATAGAACTACACTCACGTTCTCTCCACAAACACAGCGGGGAAAGGAGAAGACAGTATCTCTCCGCTTGTGAAGAGAGTTAGCGTTGCGCTCGTTCTTACCAAGATCCCCCGCCCCCCTATCCTTGAGTTGCCCCCATTGAGAGGAGCCCCCTTCTCCTCAATGACCCCAACTCAGGACAAGCACCAACAGGCCACCGCTCCCTAAGAAACAAAGCAGTTCCCACCAAAAGCCTGTCCCTTCTGTGTAGGATGAGAATATTGTTGCCTCTTTTGATATTTCTGATATTTTGCTCAGTTCAATACTCAGGTTACAAGGGTAATCAATGTTGGGGGAGGGGAGAATTAGTGTGTAACAGCTAGTATCTGGCGCCTGTTTTCGGGTGAGGAGTTTCTCCCCCCCTCTTTCTAATCTCCTGCTCAGTTAATCCCTCCCCCCCTCTTTCTAATCTCCTACTCAGTTAATCCCCTGAATCCCAGGGTAATCAATGCTGGCAGGAACCCTCATCCTTTTCTTGATATGTTTCATTCAATTTGTATATGGGACCCTGGACCCGTTTTCCAGCAGGTGATGCTTCCCACCAATAGATGGAGCCGCCCCCCCAGGTGCTAGTGGTGTCTGCTCTTACCAGCATCACTAACACTGATGGGGGCGTTAAAAAAAAAAAAAAAAAAAAAAAAAAAGGGAACATGGGGGAGCTGCACCCACCAGCAGGTGCGACACATGCTCCAGCAGGTGGGCAATACCGGGCAGGGGTCAGCTGGCAACATCAGGACCGAGCTTCTTCGATGGGCAAGCCACTGTGTCTGCCCTCCGGTCCCCTCCCCCTGTGAACATCAGCAGTCTCTCCTCAATGCCATTCAGGGGAACCAATGACATATCTCTAGGTGGTGGGCACCAAGCTTGCCCAGGAAGGTACATGAGGCCAACGGGGCTTGAACCCAAGACCTCCTGAATGCCACTTGCCGGCCAACTGAATTAGGCCACTGGATCAGATTATAGTTTTTCACCCCCACTGCCAGGGGAAAAAATAGAAAATAAAAGATCTGCAGGGGGTGGGGTTGTGCCCAACGAAAGCTCATTCAGACCATTCATTGCTTTGATCTTTTTTTTGCTTCAGATTTTTTTTGCTTCAGATTCTTTCAGACGGTTCATTTTTTCGGCACCACACTGCGAAACTCGCCTCCAAGAAACATACAAGAGGCAAGCTCCAACTTGCCTGTTTTTTTTTTTTTTTTTTTTAATCATTATTATTATTATTATTTTAAAGCAAACATCTGCCTGTTAATATGTCCAATTGGTGGGCAGCATCACATGCTGGGAAGCGGGCCCAGTGAGCTTGTTTAAAAACAAAAAAAAGGGGAAGGAAGTGGGCCCGGCATCCCATTTCAGAAGATATGATGATGACAAGGACCTTGTATTCTATCTATATATATTGTCAAACATTAGGGTTCAGCCTCAGGGACAGCATGAGGTTAGCAGGGGGGCAAGGGTAAGCGGACGGAAGGAGGCCCTGCTGGTGCTCCCCGGCGGCTCTCCCTCCAACACCCGACCGGGCCACGAGATCAGAAAAGGAGGAAAGGTTGACAAAGATTGACATTTTTTTTATTTTTTTTTTGATGGCCCATATCCAAGGCCTCTATCCCAGTGGTGGTAGGAGAACCAACGGAATTGAGGCTTTGCCTGGTGAGCCGCTCCATCCGTTGGTGGGGAGCATCACCTGCTGGAAACCGGGTCCAGCATCCCATGAATACAAGTTTTTTTTTTTTTCATAGTACATGAATATAGGAAGTACTCAGAATGCTGGAAAGCAAGAAATGCCAACCTATGTCAGCTCCGAATTTCAGATGTTGCTGCCAGCATTGACTACCTCAGAACATTGGGGGGTTAACTGAGCAGCGGATAGTAATTGTGGCAAGTGGTTCTGTAGGCAAGTGGGGTCCTCCCCGGGGGGCTCCAGAGAGGAATTCCCTTGTAAGCATGCGTGAGTGTGGGGATGTATTCGACACACGAGCGCGAGCACGTGGGGAACGAACCTGCCGGCGGGTTCGGCGGTCTCGAGACCCAACGCCTTGGAGGTTCCGAGGAAGACGGAAGGCGTTGACATCATCACCGGAGTGTGCTAGGAGGTCAGGCATCGATGGGTCAACTGGGCTTGACTGACGGGGCAGACGAAGGAGTGGTCGAGATGATAGCATCTCGATGTCAACGTGGAGAAGGCGTCCTTGCGCAAGGTCTAACACAAGCGGCGATCCTGGAGGGGGCGGCTCCATCAGACGAATTGCGTCGTCGGGCGGAATCGTGGCTGTCTGAAATAGAAGATATTCAATGGCGCATGCAGCAGATTGTCGGACGCTTGTCCTCCGCTGCCCAGACCGTGGCAGTGGCAGATTGGGGGGGGTCTGCCCCGGCCATATGGCTGGAGAACAAGTGTGAACAGCTTGAAACCCTCCTCCGGCAGATCGAGGAGGATTCGGAACTGGAACCTTTTGTCGATTGGCAGCGGGCTGAAGCTATTATAAAGAGCTGCAATTTGATCTTTGACCAGGGTGCTGATTTCTGCGCTGCACTCAAGGAGAGGTTGGTGACTGAAGCTTGGCGGGAGGCTGAAGTCTCGAATCTTGTCACCTTGTATTCAGGGGAGTATACATCATCAACAGCATCAACAGCACCAATGATAACGACTTCGAACACAATAACTGTGGAGGCTCTGGCGCTCATCGCGGAGACTTTGCACGGCACAGAGAAGCTAGACAATCTAACGTCAGCAAAGGGAACGACAACTATTACTGCAGCAAAAATGAAGGAGGTTGCTCCTCCATACATCATGGCCGCATCATTCGTTAAGGAGGAACTGGAAGATCGAAACACAAGTGTGAAAACAAGAACAACACTGTCAACGAATACAACATCCATGACTACAATGAATATACCGTCGACTGCGATAGCATCAATGAACATTTTGACGGTGGGGCGGCCAACAGAGGAAGTCGGGCAGGTAGAATGGCTGGTTTACATCCTGCATGGCGGTAAGTCTTCAATTTGCCCTCTGTTCCCCGCCGTGTTTCTCCGCACTGTTTACCCCGGTTTAGTCCACGTGGCCGCATGTCTGATGGTTTTTCCTTTCACCCGATTGGCGGGGCAGCAAGGACGGTGGGAGGAGGGACCTGCCTGGTGGTTGGGCATGATAAACTACAAAGGCAGGTGGGGTGAGCGCGGGCTATGGATGCGTGAAGGTGTGGGGTAGAGGTCGGGACTGAGGGAGAATAGACCAACCTTTCTTTTGGAACCATGCGGTAGGTTGATCTGGTTGTGTGGCTGTTGTCTGCTCCCCTCATCTAATCAGCTGTCTGATTTCTAAGAATTGTCGGTGAATCTACTCTCTGCTGGAATGTTTCTGGGTCAATACGGGAATGTTTCTGGGTCAATACGTGGGGAGGTAGGGAGCCATCTGTGCAGATCATCTCGCTATAATTACGTAGGGCTTGGTTAGGATTCAGAAAAAGGATTCGGGCTGTGCCAGATTGTCCTTGCCTTGTCAGCGCCTGAGTTTAGGTTTAAATTTTCAACCACTTTTCAATCGACGGCTGCTCTCCCTTCAGGATAATTGCTGGGCTGACTTGGGTACATGTACGATGGCATGAGTTTGGCTGGGAGGGCTGCGTATTTCAGGCTTGTTCATATTGCTGAATCTACTCCCTTCTTGATTGTCTTTGTGTTAATATGCGTGGAGGTAGGGAGTTACAAGTGCAGTCCACCTTGCCACAATTGCGTTAGGTTTGGTTAGAAGTTAGATTGTGCTCGTCGTTTCTTGCCCTGCTATAATTCCCCCCCGCTTTGGACTTTTTATGGCTTATCATCTACGGGTTGTCTATAGTAGGGCAGATTTCGCTCGGTGGATGGAGTAGGGTTAATCCCTCCCTGCTGAGGAAAACTCATCACAAATTTTCGATTGTATAATCAAAAGATCACCATGTACAGGGACGCTGGACCCGTTTTCCAGCAGGTGCTACTACTGCCCACCAATTGATGGAGCCCTCCCGATGGCGCTAGTGGTGTCTGCTCTTATCAGCACCCCTAGCGCTACTTCGGGTTGTTTCTTTAAAAAAAAAATAAAAAAATAAAAAATAGAAATAAAAATAAAAAAGATTAGGCATTTTCAGGACAGAATTTCCACTAGGGAAAGGGCATGAGGTGGGAAGGGGTCTGGGAAATCGGAGGGATGGCGTAATGGGAACGAGGGCTCTGTATTTGTCCAGTTTTTAAAGACTAGGCGGTAATCTCTCATTTCCTCCCACTGTCCATCTCCCCTATCTCCACTCCATTCCACCTTGGCAATCCACCTGTGATGCCCAACCTCACGCCCAGCGCGACTTCCTGATCGGAGTAGGATGTGGGCCTGGAAGTGCAGCAATGGGGTGTGCCAAGGATTTTTGGGAAAGCGGGGGTGGAGTCCCAGGTCAGAACTGAGATCTCTTGTGGCAGTGTTTCAGGGGCACGGGTGCAATATGGCTAAAGGGGCGGGCTGTTTCCGGTCATAAGGCAGATGGTATGCGCGGCGCTTTCAAGGCCGGCTGCTTCGCCTGTTTTGGGGGCGGCGGTTCGGGGCGAGGTCTGCCCGGAATGGCTGTGATTCTGATGAGTCGGGCCTTCGGGGGCAGCCACGTGGCATCTGTCGTCGCGTGTTTGGGTTAGGCCTCCTGTTTCCAGGGGCTCTTCGGTTGCCACGTTGCAGGCAGTTTTCGCAGGGCGTCAGGGGCCACTACTCGGCGATGGAATGCCACGGTACCGCCGTAAGTTGATGGTACGGGAGGAGAAGACGGAAGGGAAGGAAATTTGTAGCAATGACGATGAAGCCGGGGGATATGAAGTAGTGCGAGTTGTCTGACGTGAGAAAATCGGGACACCTCGGGTCGCTGGTCGTAGCGCAGTGAAACTCCCTAGGGCACAATTGATTTTCGGTTAGGCAGGGGAATTCCAGGCGTCTCTGTCTGAGACAATCGTTCACCCAAGGGGTAAAATATTCTGGATCCCACGACAAGTCAGAGTCCCTCAAGTACGTCATCTTGTCATTGTGAAGCCACGGAATTCCTTAGTGCATGGTTACCCGGCTGGGGAATTTCCGAGCTCGGCGTTCAGAAATTTTTTGCCTATTCCGATATTCCATAATTGCGATCACCACGTGTGAGTACGTGTAACTGCGCGAACTGGATCGCACTTACACGGGTTCACCTGGGATGATCACTTCGTTGCAGACGCAAAATGGCCACCGAACACACCCAATCCGTCAATATCCCGCAATCGTTAGTCATTTCATACGTGGGTGGTTGCGAATCGACGCGCGTGGACACGTGTAGGCTGCGCAGATCAGATCGCGCTTACACGCATCCCCGCAAAGTATTCGCTTGCTTCTGGACAACAACTACCCAATCATCTAATCACTCCGTGATCCCGTACGCAACCGCTCCCGAGCATGCAAGATGCAGTAAAAACAGCAAGGGAAACAGTAGCGCGACCCCGAGCTTCCAACAACTGGTTAAGAGACCTATCTAATCGCGCAGCCGGAATTTATAGCGTGCATGCATGCGTGATGAACACGGAATTACAAAGACTTAGAAAGGAGATCAGGAGAGGGAGCGCCTACGTTCTGCATGGCTAGATCGCGGCGTGGGGGATGTAGCCTCTCCCCACGCATCGATCCGAGCATGTAGTCCGTGGGCGGGCTAGACTCGGCAAGAAGAAAGGCGAGAGCGAGAAAGACGAAACTCAAGAAGAAAGATGCAGTTATAAGGGCGCCCGCCCAAAATTACAGTTACACACACGATTAAGGGCGCCGACTAATCAGAGTTCCGTTGCAGCCGCATAAAGAAGCGAGTAAGCAAAAAAGCGTCGCGCGGCAAAAGAAAATCCTAATTGCAAAATTCCTAAATTCTTGTCTAATGCAGAAAGAGCGAAAGACACAAATCCCGAAAAGAAGGTTCGAAATTTTGAGATTCATAGAGGCTCGACAAGATTCGAAAAATAATTTAAAAAGAAATTTAGAAAAGAACGAAGCAAAAATTATTGCGCGATGTCCGCGCCTAAAATCCGACAACAACACAGAAAAGAAGCATCGTCAACCCTTATTAATCGCGCCCGGTCGGCGCGACAGCCACTCAATCAATCATCCTGGGACTTACCCGACCCTGAATCCAGCCATCCGAAAGGAAGCGATAAAAGAAAAGGAACGAAAAGGCGAAAAAGGCGAGGACACTGATGCAATTCTCCCTCAATCCCAATCTCCCGTAATTGGCCCAACCTTCCCAACTTAGGACTCCTCATTGTCATCGCGCCGAAAGTCGCGTGGGGCAGAAATCGGTTTGTCACACACCCTTCTCTCTCCCCTCCTACCCAGTCTGTGCAAAATGTTGTGATCACTCTCCTAGCATCACCAACTTCTCTAAAAATATCTAGTTGTGACTTTGTATTTTGCATGAGTTCAAACTGCACCTGTTTCTGAATCTGTTCTGTAATCTCTAACATTTCTACCCTCACTTTTTACAGGGCCAGGGTGCACCTCTGCCACCAGAGAGCCCATATCACCGCCCTCCTTCCCAATCTGTACATATTTTCTGCAAAGGCCGCGGCTTCCCCTGCTGTCGGCCAATGCCCGGCCAATATGATTTGCCATGACCAAGGCCAGGTGATATCTGTTTCCATTTTTCATCAAATGCGGTCCCACCACCTCCTTATGAATAGAGTGATTGGGCATTGCATGAAAATGTGCTCAACGGTTTTTGCCTTCTTGTGGGAAGGGAAAAGACTCTGGCACCACTGGCACCATGGCAGTAGCAGTCCTTTTGCTCCGGGTTAGTGTGGTCTGTTAACCAGTCATTGGTCGGCAGACAACGATGAGCTATCGGCCATTGTAACAGAAAAAATTCCCAAAATTAAATAATCATTCTATAGTAAAATTACATTTTAAATTTCAAATTTTCATTCCATCTTAAAAAATGTCATTCTAATTTAATTTTTTTTCGTCTTACTATAAAACTTTCCTTCCAAGAATGGGGTATCCCTTCTTATTTGAACTGCATGCTAGAGATAGAATGAAAGTTTGGATGAGTTCATGAAATATTTTAATTGGACTGTCATTCTAAGTAAGGATTTCCAGTCATAAATAGGCTAATCCAATCTAAATTAGAAGATATTTGTTGTAGTAGAATGAAAGTTTAATAAAAACATTTCATAAACATTCCATCTTGAACAAATAGATGTAGTTGGAAGGGAAAGTTCATACTTAGATGAAAACTTACTAAATAAAATTGTAAATTTTAGAATTGGACGAACGTTGGAAGGATAATTTATAAATATGACGATTTTTTTTTTTACGGAATGCTTTTTCAACTTTAATTTCTTGTGGGAATTTTTCTGTTGGAGGTGATTTTAGTGGGCTTGGACTTTTGTTCCTTGAACCAGCAAATCAGTGTAAGGAGGGTGCGGTCCACATTAAGGTGCCTAGCCCAACGATCGTTAACCTTGTCCCTCAGATGTCGCTTGTGTTTAAGCATTTTATATGCCGATTTGAATGATAGCTAATAAAGGCTAATGTAACTAGTGTTGGGGCCTTCTCTCTTTTGAGGGGGCTTCCATGTCCATTCCAATGGATCCAAAGTCAGATCCTAGATCGCCTTGAATGGTTGGAAAACGACCGTCTGTTCTTTCGCCTCTATGACCCCCACCTGGTACACAAACACTCTCTCCTTCCAAACAAAGAGGGTTCTACTCCCTTGGAGGGCGCCTATTTTGGTGATAGTGTAATGCTCGATAAGGACTGTTTGGGGGGAGACCATATGAATCTGGCCCATCCTCGTCGGGATCTCCCTACTTGTCACCCAATCGCCTTCTCTCAAAATGGGGCCTCGTTTGAGAATTTGATACCATGCCAGCGGGATAGCCTCAATTAGGTTATCCAACAGTTCCCCCACATGGTGGCAGTACCGTAGGGTTTCCCGCGGTTGACCAACTGTTATCCAGTCCTGTCTCCCATTGTCCCAAAGGTCCCCAACTCTAAGAACTCCTCGTTTGACCCAACTTTTCCAGGGTAGGGACAAGTTTGACATGATGCTGCCCCTCTGATCTGTCACCCACCTATTCCGAAACAAGAGCTGCCGGTAGACCTCCTCCCATCGATCAGGGTGGGTTCTATCCGGGGGCGGGAACTTGCGCCATGAATTTAGTAGAGATGACCAGAAGGTGTCCATTACCTATTCTCTGTCGTCGACCTCTTGTCTCCCTTGTGGGAGTTTGCGCCGGATCGTCAAAAAA